AGCCCAATCAAAGTACAGATCTGAGAGTCAGGCCCTTCACCCCAACCCCATTTTTCACAAAGTTTGTTCCAACCTCGAGGGGGCGGCCGAACCGGAACATCTTGTAGCTGAAGTGCTCGCCTTTTCCACTCAAGACGCAGAAGAACGACCGCCTCCGCAAACTCCAGATCCAACTTGGGGCCGCCAATGACAGTGCGTGAAAGCAAGCGCGAGCGGCGCGAAGCCACTTTGCCTGCCCACAGCGCCCTCTCAATGTGACTCTGCCACCGTTGCCTCGTGTGAACCCTGTGCTGTTGCCAACAAGCCGCCCAGGTCAACGCGGAGACCACCACACTGCGAAGTAACGCAACTCGCATTGTGAGATGCGTGCACGCCTTGGCCACCCGTTCACACCTGACCTGCACAAGCTTGGTAAGCTCCGCATGAAAAGGTCAAAAGATTCGTCTGCGGCAACTACTTGCCTGCAGCCTCCCGCGGCTGCGAGGTGATACATCACGTCATCAAACTTGTTTATCTCTGATGCAACACTTGTGCCATCTGGATCAGAAATATTCACGCAGCTGCAGTTACAAACCGGATGCAGCTCGTTTGTGAGAGGGTCGCGGTCGCCGGGATTTGTGTGGCATATGCTGTTGTGCTGGTTCACTGCAAAGGCGCAGACCCAATACGTGTCATCCAAGCGGCCGCTTTCTGCCAGGATCTTGCAAAGGAATTCGCAATCGTCTTCGAGCAGCACGGTGGCCAAGCGGAAGCTGCATTCCTGAAGGGCATCCGAGACGACCGCGGCAAGCAAGTCCCTGTAGACGTTGCCCCGATTGTGCGTCACCATAACGGCGGCCCTTTGAGCCCCATCTCTGTTCAGACTAGAGGCCGCAAATGCGCAGCCTTCTGCGCCTGTGAGAGGAATGATTGCCCTCCGAACCACATCTCTGGTCTTGTGGTCCTTCGGCACATACCTCCAGTCTGGTATGGATGGGAGATCTTGTTGATAGAACTGCAAAAGGCTGCGCAAGGTCATACCTCGCAACGAAAGCTCCTCGACTTTTGCTTTCCAAGGCAGTCTCACGTCACGTTCCTTTGCCGGTGCTGCACTGAGCTTTGCGGGACATAACCTGCAGCATGCTTGCCGTCTGGCTTCCATCGAGTTCTTGCAAAATCGCGAACCATCCATTTGTGCGTTTGGACCGTCTGCATTTGCCACCCTGTGGCTCCCGGACATGAGCAGCAGTAAGACTGCTTTCACGAGCTCCCGCCACGCAGTGACAATCGTATACTCTGCTGAAAGTGCCATAGCGGAGATTCGGATCAGAAAGAAACACAAACATCAGTTGTAGTATCGTAGTACGCCGGGCCAATGCTAAGGAAGACCGTGCAGGAATTGCTGTGTCATCCAACCCTTCTGCATTATGCAAAATCTTGCGTAGCTGGAAGATGGATAAGGTCAGGGCACGGATTGTCATGATGATCACCACATTGGTGATCAGCTCACTAAAGACGATGAGGAGCTCTTGCAAGAGTGCACTTGGCAGGACAAGTGAAATGCCAAGCACCAAGGGTTGCACCCAGACGAGCTTTCGAACGAAGCTGCTGCAGTATCTCTGATTGGATGACTTCTCCAAAAGGTCTAGTAGTGAAGCCACGAGCAACAGCATCCAACAATGCCCTGCTAAATTGAGCACGGCAGCGATGCGCATGACTGCGATAGCAAGGCTGGTCTCAGGACGGCATTCTGAGATCAAGCAGGGTGACTCCAACATGAGCGCAACCCAGCTGACGATAGCACAGCCACATGCTGACATGGCATGAGATGAACGCCTCGCTTTTTTCCAGAGAAAGGCTACCACACAACCAACTCCTAAAATTGGTAACATCAGTCCGGCGAGCAAGACGCTGTCTGAAGGTGGGCGTCGGAGTTCAGTGTCTCTGGTCAAACTTATGAGCACAGCCAGAGAAGTTGCATGTGCAACGAGGACCACAAAGTATGATCCAGGCAGCCATCGGTGCCAAATTGAGGCTTTCATCAGCTACCGCGAGGGATGACTTTGCTATGGCCAAAATGGCTCCAACCAAACCCTCTACAAGTGATGCATAACATCCACAGTCGATGCGCCCTGCGTCCCGCCAATCATGCAAACATGGCGATGATGAACACGCCGGCATCGTCGTTTCGCTATTTCATATATTTCCGCATATCGTAGTATGTTTAAATTAAATGTGCTGTTCGTACTTCTGCTTTGGGCTGAATTGGAGCAATTTGACGCATAGCTTTGGGGATTTCGGAGGTGGTCAGGATGTGGGGGGTATGCCAGTATGCTATGTTGGGAGAAAACTATACAGGTGCAACCATGTGTTGGTGTGGTGCGGATGTGAACTTGAAATGACCCTTGATAGCTCTACCATCCGGAAGAATCATGACAAAAACATCAGTGTCAATTTTGGCAAGTCGGTGCTGCAAAATGTATTGATACCACGAACGCATAACACCACGAACACAGTGTACTTTCACTAGTGACACTAGTCACTAGTGGTTCCCGCGCGTTTGCCCCTAACCCCTCAACCCCAAACTCGAAACCCTCAAAGCCCAAAGCCTAAATCTCAAACCCCCATACGCTAAACTCTAAGCCACTTCACTACACGCCGAAGCCAGGAGGCGGAATATCCAGGCAGGCCACAATGCAGAGCCCTTCCACTCCGAATATTCCGTGGATGATGGGATAGGAGAACCTCAGGAAAGGCCCTACTTCTGAATCATAAAACAAGAGGAAGCTGAATAAGTTAGCATATCTCTTAAAGTCCCTACATGAGCGAGTCGAGTCGGCTAACTTCCCGTAAACCTTCAACCCATCATAACTACTCCCTACTCACACTGTGACGCTCATTCAATAAACTCTATCTGACCGTATGTTTGATCAACCAACTTTAAGGTCTGGGGCCGGGGCAAAGCATGCTGCCTTCTGCTCCACTTTATTTCAGGCTAAGGAACATTCCCAAGTTCAGCCCAGTCATCATGCCAGTGAGTAGTGCGCGTTCATGGCACGACTCCTGCCAAGCCAGATCTTGAAACTCTTGCAAGGCCCAGTCGAGTTAAAGTTTAAGGTTGAGGGATTAGCGCTTAGGGGAGAATATCGGGGCAAGAGCTCGAGGCAATACGTGTTGGCATCTGAATGACTTTGACGCAAACCCTGAAGCTTCTAGCTCTGTACTGTGGTACATTCCACTCTCGATTAGCCATCTGTTATATTATGCACCATCTACAATTCGCCTCGGCCCCGGCCGAAGCGGTCAGAGGTTCCACCAGCTCTTATGCAATCCACTCTCCAGTGACCCAAACCCCCTCCCATTTTCGAAGCCCACCTGAAAATTGGATTCGGGTTGGCCTTTTGCACCACCAGCCCCACCCCGAGAGATGGACTGTTCAGGACTCTGTGACAAGCTGGCCTTGGTCTGTATGCACAGAGCAGGTTCCCCCCCCCCCCCACTCTTCCCTCGTCTCTTAATTGCGGCGAGGCAAGACAGGCTAGCTTGCAGCATTCATGTAGCGTGTGTACGATAATGCAGGGAATATGCCACCTTTCCTGTGGGATTGTTGCTCAAAGCCTCAGCATGAAAACACATACTGACATTAAAAACACAGTCGGAAGCAAATGCATCCATTCACGCAAAACCTCACCTGCGTGACCTACCTGTGGCTTTCCGAAACAGTGCACCTGCTTCAAGTACAGCCGGTGTATCTGATTATCGATCTATATACTTTATACTGTTATTGTATCTACTGTCCACTTAATAATACATGTATCTACGTACCTACCTACCTACCTACCTACCTACCTACCTACCTATCGATCGATCTATCTATCTAACGGATAGATAGACAGATAGATAGATAGGTAGGTAGATAGATAGACAGATAGACAGATAGACAGATAGGTAGAAAGGTAAGTAGATAGATACGTGTATATATATATATATATGCACACATATGTGTGTATCCTGGGTCCTGCCTCATACAGCAAAGGGCTGCTTGATGCTCTGACCGGCTTGACCTCCCCAAACCCAAGCTGGTATGGAGTACTGTGGTGCACTCTTCGATTGTGGGCCTCTCAGGATGCTTTCGATGACGCCCTCTCTGACACCATCGAAGATGTTGTACTGATGTTGGATCCTGAGGTTGTCTGTGACACCTTTCACCGCACACAACAGACCAAGCATGTGTCAGTCTGCTGCCCCGACCTCCCCGACTCCCCGGGCCTGTTGACTTTACCATGCCCTTCGTCTTGTCTGGTGGAATTGTCTCCTTCCGCTTGGATCCGCTGCCTTGTCCCGGCTTTTTGCTACCCTTATATAGGAGGGGCCCCGCTTGCCGCGGCTCGGCGACGAGATGCTATTGTCGGCTAGCACGCGAGTCGTTCTCCGAGCCTCATGTACAGCTCTCACTTCCCTTGAGCTGGCAGCTACATGGCTGGTTTCGGCAGGTCCGTGAGATCGAGGACGGGTTACGAAGTCCTGAGGACTAGTTTCACTTGAATTTACCTGTTTTGTGTTTTGCATTAGGCGCGACCAACGGTCTCTCAGCCTGCTGAATAAAATAAAACTATGTGTGTAATATATATATATATATATATGTCTATATACATATACGATATATATGTGTGTATATATATATATATATAAATATTATGTATATGTATAGATATACCATGTTATCACCTACAAGGAATGACGTTTGCCGCTCCTTCCTTCGAAAGCCCCACCAGCCGCCCAGGGCAGCCAAGCCAAAGCTCAGCAACCAGGCCGCCAGAGCGAGGGATGGAGCGGCTGTGCCTTTAGATAACGGTTTAGGGTTTAGCTGGGTTTAGGGTTTCGGGCTCTTTTAAAGGTTCTTTGAAGGGTTTCTTTTAAGGGTTCCTTTCAAGGGTTACCTGTAAGGGTTCCTTTTGAGGGCTCCTTTAAGGGGGTACGGTTTGGGGCTTAAGTTTAAGGGTTCAGGGTTTCGGGTGTTTAAGGTTTAGGGTTTGGGGATTAAGGTTTAGGGGTGAAGGTGATGATGGTAATGAGGATGACGAGGGTAGTCATGATGACGCCGGCTATGATGAAACGCCACGAAGATGCTTTGCATCCTAGTGCTAGCGAGCCGACGGGCAGACCAGGAGATTACCTCATGCTTGCACGCACTCGAAGGTGTTGCAAATGTATAATCTAGCTACAAGCCCGAAACCTGGAACCCTAAAAGCCAAGCCCCTGGCCCTAGACTCGTCATGGCATGGATTCCCAACCAAATATGAGATTCGGGCTCGCGGGCAGATGCGAGGCCGGAAACAGGCTTGTAATGTAGGGTCCTTGATGATTAGTGGTGGTACTTCTTCACACTTTGATGTTAAGCCCAGGTTGTGCAAAGCGAACGAAGCGCAGTGCCTCAAATGCAGTAGACTCGGCGTGTGCTCCCACGGGCCATGCTCCCATGCTCTCGAAGCCGACCACACGATGAGATCACACAACACAATCGCATTAGGGTTTATGAGTTTATTCAGTTTGTAATAGTATCATGTAGTATATAGTATTAGCGGTAGTACCAGCGTTTAGTATTAGTTATTAGTCTGCGTACTACACGCATTTATTCTTAGTCTAAGTAAGTATATAGACGATACAGGTCAAATGATGGGCACATACTTTGGTTCATGTCCGAATGCATCTCGCAGTTGCCCCCTGGTGCTTCCACGAAGGTGTGCAGCAGCAAGGCCTGTCGGCGAGTCACTGCTCCAATCGTTAGGGCATTCCCCAGGGCTCCTCATTCTAAAAATCTGTCACATGCATACATATGTATATGTGTGTGTGTGTACATACAAGTATATAACAGTATGTATATATATATATATACATACATACATACATACATACATACATACATACATACACACATACCCCACAACCCTAAGTTGGCACTCGGAGGCGTCAGGCTCCAACTCAAGCCAGGTCGATGCCAACAGAGAAGCCGCAACAACACAACAGATACGACCAGAACCTAAGAGAACGCAAATCGTGGAACGACAGGACTGCATTGCAGGGTATACCGTGTGTGTGAAGGGTACAGAGGACGGTGGTGACGGTTGTGATACGGAGGAACAGCGTCGCAGTAATCAACATCGTCTTCATGCCCAGACAAGATAGAAAAAGAAAACAATACTGATGGTCATGATGTTGATGTAGATGATGTTGATGATCCTGATGGCAATGCTGAAGGTATGCTGAGCAAGGACAACGATGCCGCTCATGGCTCTGTGGCAGTACCGCCTTGCGAGTGAAGGCAGCACCTTCTTCAAAGCAGATGGTGCTGATGGAGGTCATTGTGACAGTCATGCGATGGACATTATAGACTTCTGTTGTAAGGCTGACCAAGGATGACGACTAATCACGACGACACTCATGGGCCAGGCTATGCCTATGATGATGATGATGACGATGATGTGAACGGTGATGAACACGCAAATAAGGATGTTAGTAATGAAGATGAAGATGCTGAATAATACGATGATGGCGATGGTGGCGATGACGAAGACATTGATGCAGACGATGATGATGGTAACGGTTTGTACATGACAAATACCGCTGATGAAGACCATACAACTTGGTTGTGATGATGATGATGAGTTCCGATTTCCATGACGAGCACGGTGGTCGTGAGTGGACCCACTTTACAGTATGATTTAGATCTCGGAGCACTTATTCTCAGGCGACGGGTGCAATTGCAACGATCGCAAGTCTGGCGCTGACTTGGCTTTTTAGAGCCCTTGCAGGCCAGGCACGGGTGTGGCCACGTTCAATGCCAGCTTCAGCAGCGTGCGCCCATCTCTCTCCTCCACAGAGCTAGGAATCGCAATGGGAAAACAGCAGCCACGACCTATGTTCGCCGATTCGAGCATCTGGCAACGAGTTAGGCGACAGAGTTGGAGAGTAGCTTCCCGACAAAAACACCATGCCCTCAAGAACATTTGAAGACAGTCGGGGGAGGGCTGTCAAAATCATCACCAGGTCAGAGAAGCCGTAGATTGGAAAGACCACCACGCGGAACCATATTGTTGATCGGCCAATGGGCAAGCAATAGCTACAAACTGCCCTTACCCTAAACCCCGAACCCTTGCCCTCACGCTCCATCCTGCACGATATTGCACCGCTTCAGCAGAAGACCCAGGGCAATGAGCGAAAAATTCGAAACGAAGGCAGCCGCTGCGTTGTGGGCCATAGCAGCTGAAGTCTTCCTCGTGTGGGGCGTTTTTGTCGCTTGAGCCTCGGCTTTCTCATAGTTATGCTTGCTTTCTTGGGGGTTCTTGAAGCAGCTTATGCTTCCGTGTTTGTTGCGGTAGAGGTTGCAAGAAGTGCGCGGAGACTTCTGTAATACTACTACAATTCTTCGACTCAAAGCCATAGCAGCTGCGACAGTAGCCAGCATTCGTTCAGAGACAATGTTGCCTGCAGCTCAGAGCTGGGAACGTCCAGCAGTCAGCCTTCAACCCTGGTACCTGCGCGGCTGGACCCTTCATGCAGAGGCCAGAATAAACGAGAATAGTGGTTTTTGGGCTACGCTAGACTATGGTTAATCTAGGAACCTGGAGGAATACAATTACAATGACTGATTATGCAGACCCTACACTCTGAAAGAAGGAGGCGCAGGCTGTTTCCACGTTCGCAAGCTAGCATCAGCTAGCGCTTCTTCCGGTCATACCACTTTAGTTCAGCTTTGGGCACCCTTGTCGTCATTCTTGTTTCGGAGCAGTTCTCTCCATCTGTAAGTTTGTAAGGCACGCCCAATCTAGAATCATAGCTCCTTCTCGAGGCGGGTGCACAAGCTGGAGCAGGACACTTGGCAAAAATAAAGCCACCAAGTGCCTGGCAGGAGTTGCTTGCATGCTCATTGAGCATTTAATTGAGGGCTGACCCCGTCCAGAGGTATGGTTGAGTCGCAGAATGTCGACCGCTGTTTGAAACATTGTGCTCTGATGACTAGACCAAGGCTGAGACGCCTGTAAACTCCGCGTCCTAAGCTCTCAGCCTCATGCTACCTCCTGAGCTGCGATAAACCTCTTGGCTAGGAGATCGGCCCAATCACAGCGCAAATGCAGCAATTGGTGGGGCCTTAGGCCCGAAAGCACATCAGGGCAGCGAGATCCTTCGGATGACACGCCCCACCCTGTCTGTGATTGGCCCCCTTGAGTCTGCAGGACACGTCAGAAAGCTGAGGCACGAAAGTTCAAAGCGATTCACACCTCATGAGGTTGGCAGCTTAAAGCCCTTGCATCTTCAATGATCGTGTCCTGGCCTCTTCTAGGCTATGGGGCATAGGCATCAACAGGAAAAAGAAGGGATGTCTGGCCAATGTGACCCTGTGGCTGTTCCGCTTTTGGCGCGTGGCGCTGATTGTCAGCAGGAAGCCGTGGCAGATCGGAGACGACAACTAATGGGCCCTGCTGTCCTACGCAACCTTGACAGCTGATGCTACAGTGCAAAAGCAGTGCACCAAAAAGCTGGGTAGTTGAAGCATCCAGCAGTGACCCTCAAAGTCTTTCATGTGGCGTTCAGCAGGCGGTATACAAGAAATGCTTTGTTTCGTTGTCTTGCAGGATGTCAGTGGTTCATATCCGACATAAATCCCGAACTGGCAGATGCCATGGCATTTCCATCACGTCCATCCCGCCACAGCACATCCGCACAAGGCAGGCCACACAGCACGTTTGCAATGTAACATCATCACACCCCACGACTCCACAACAAGTCCGCACCAGCCCACTTGCAATTTCTGGGTGCACCCCACCCGCCACCCCCACATGCTAGAGATGAAAACGCAAATTCAATGCTAAATCGGTTGTACCAGTAGTGATGCATGGTCGAAACCTTTGACAGCGGCATCCATGACAAGGTCATCACGACCGTTCCCAGCTGGCGCACACTGCGAAACAGAAGTCCCGTAGATATCCATGGGCTAGAGTACTGGAAGACGTGTGCTCACATCCTCGCTGGCTGCCATCAGCTGAAGGGCCAGCCTGCTGGCGGATGCTGTGAAGCTGCTCACATTCTGTGCTGAGACAAACATCACTCTTCTGAACCACCTGGAAAACTATATGACGAGAACATGTGTAAAGAGAGAGAGCGGCGTTTTCAACTCGACGAAGACTCCAAGGTGACATCGCTCGCTCGCGACTATGCTACGTGCTTGGATACTCTACCTTAAGAAGTTACTACCCAGTAGGCGTACCACACTGTAATGTAATAACGGTACCCGTTTCCTACTATTTAGTTTTAACCTTAGAGGGATCAGTAGCATTGATTGCACCTGCACCTGGTTGTGCACTGCATGGTTGCCTGGGCCTCCATTATCATTTCACATCTGAGGTCCCGGCCACTAAACGCCAACCCCAACAAAGCTTCGCCGCTCGTCATTCTCCTTCCGCAGGTTAAAGTTTGGAGTTAGAGGGTTCATTAGAGGGTTTAAGGTTTGAAGGCTCGGGGTTTGGGGTTGGGGATGTACTGACACGGGCGACCTCGTCCGCTACAGCCCTCCGAACCCACCAACATTGGCGCACAGAGCTTGTGGTTTGAAGTAGGTCATAGGTTCTCTAGGGTCTTCGTGGGGTCTCATCAGATTTGCACTGCAGGTTGATGCAATCGAACGGCAACTACTGCCATTCTGGCAACACATGGCAACACTTAACATCAATTGCGAACGAGAAGCAGCTAATTCAGCTGGCCATGCAGATGAAGCATACTTACCAGACGAATCTCGAACGTGCAAAGCTTCCAAGCAGGAAACTAACTCTTCGCTGTACTCAGCATTATCCTCATTGTTTCAAGGAGCTTCATGATCATCGGCATCATCACCGTTATCTTAAGTACCAGCCAAAGTCATCATCATCATCATCATCATCAACATTACCACCGTCACCATCGTCATCAATGTCACATTCCACTGTCGTCATCATGGTCATCACCGAGAAAAGGGATCAAATCAAGTTGGTTCGAGTTGAGAATGTGCAGAAACTGAATCCCACATAACTTTCTTTCTTAGGCTGCGTTCGAGATCTACGACCAACTGAGAATAGCTACAGAATAAGATTAGTACATCGACAGTAACTGTCACGGCAACAAGCAAGAAACAACAAGGCTGAGGAAGATGTTATATGATGTGATATGCCGTGATATGCTATTACAGTATATGTTTATGCTACATTGGGTAGCCTCTGCCCGAACCTCCTGATCCAAATGCTCTCTGTCCGAAGACTCTCGGGACATCAGCGACAAAAGCCCGACACTTCAAGCGACAGTGCAAGGGCTGAAGGCTAACCGAACGCTTTATATAATCACAGTGCACTACTAAATTGCGTCCGATTCCTTCACACAGCTGTATTAACTTATGTTCCATTTTTATGTTTGCTACCACCNNCCCCCCCCCCCCCCCCCCCTCCGACAGACATGAGCGGTCCCGTTTCTTGTACTTGTCGAAGCGACGCTTGAGATCGGACATCCCAGCGTCCGTTTCCTTGCGTTCGCTCCCAGGATTAGCTTTCGGGCTTGCTTTATGTTTAGGGTTTGGGGCTTCTAGTTTTGGCTTGTTTGGGGGTTTCTGCGCAATCTGCGATACTGAGGCTGACGGATCGAGAACGGAAGAACATACCTTTTGCAGCTGGCCAATGGGCTCGCACTTGGGCGAGCGCAGAAAAATGATCAACAAAAAGACCCTCGAAGCCCACTTTAGGGTTTAGGGGGCACTTCAACGCTGCACACTCAAAGGTCCAAGTGCCCAGTCCAAGTTTCGTATTTGTTGAGGAGCTCGAAGAGACGCTCCGCACAAAGCTTGGCCGAGCGCAGCACGTAATGAGCGCCGCATCTGCATTCAGGTATTGTGATCCCAGTGTGCTCCCCAGACCCCGTCCCAGCAGAGTAGTACATAAGTACGCTCGTATAGTAGTAGTACAGTAGTACAATAGTATAGTAATCAGTGAACACAATGAGAAAGCTCGGAAGTGCCTCATATCTCATCAAAAACAAAATCCAGCCTTATGCCCGCCAAAATCTTTATCAAAGGCTGCAACTCCCTTCAAGATCCAGCCTGAGGCCCATGAAAATCCTCCGAGAAGGCTACAAACCTTTGCAGGCCTAAGGCTCATCAAAATCCTTCGAGGGGTCTTAAAAGTTTAGAGTTTAGAATCTAGCGCCAGACCTTCTTGTGACCATCTACCCAGTTAAGATTGACCCTCAGCAGACTTGAAAATCAAAACATCAAACCGCCGGACAAATTTTTGTTGCATTGACGAGGACGGCTAAAGCAATGCAAAACAGAAAAGAGGGCCCGGAAAAGGACGCATGATAGAAGGTCACCTAACTACAGACAGTGCAGTGCAACTGTATTCTTTCGCGTTCAAGTCAAACAAATGAAAGAAGCCTTCGAAGGTACGCATCGACAATCGTGGTTGGTTTAGGGTTTAAGGCACCTCCGAAGACCGAAGGACTACGATAGAGATAATGCTTGCGAAATGCATGCCGACAGCAAACACACGTACACAAATATCTCGAAGCAAATGCGCAAACCGCGTATATATATATATATGCTCAACC